TCTCATGGATTTGTGCAGGGGGAAAAAATCACTGGATCCGCAAGGGGAGTTGCTGCTGGGGTACAGCAGGCTGCATGGGAGATCCCTGCATGCCATTGCTTTTTGACTGTATCGCGTTTGGAAAAGTATGACAGGCCTGGACTACTTGTGTGAGTTTCCCCCATCCTGTCCAAGATTCTGAAATTCCTTTTTGATTCATGGAATGATGAGTGGACTAGCAAGACCTGACATGTTCTGAGGGGCCATAGTAATCTCTGGACTAGGGATGTCCATGAACTGAATTTTGTGATGAACCATGCTGGTTTGTGCATTCGTGAACCATGATTCATGCAATCGCGATGTTTGCAAACTGCCCACAAATCGCACTGTTTTTTTGCGGTGGTTTGTTCGGTTTGTAAGAGGGCTCATGGCGGCAACATGAGTGAGCTCAGAAGGCATTTAAATGCCTTCTGAGTTCACTTGCAACAGCCGTTGCTGCGAACCCAAACTGGTTCGTTAAATGGAAACGTTCGTAGAGGGTTGTGAACTGTGGTTTGTGAGACCCCACGAACTACGAACCACCATGAACCTCAGTTTTCCTGGTTCATGCCCATCCATACTCTGGACCCTGTAAGCTGTGTTTGTGTTCTGGCACCAAGAACTGTAACATCATTCTAAGGGCATGCATAGGTAGCATTCTGCACCACTTGAAAGCCACCAGCCCTGCCATTTGGCCTATTAGGTTACAGTAGATGGCAGATCTGAAACACTGCATCTCCACAACCCAGCTTTGCCCAAGAGGTCCCATACAACATTATTGCATCTCAGAGCTTCTGGCAGCAGATTTCTATTCACTTGCTGAACCTGTCTGAGCAGTGTCAAATATTCTCTTAGATTTGCTATTACTAATGGTTTTGATGTTGTACAGAAGCTGCAGAATCCTTACCCAGAGAGCTCGACCACCTGAGAGCTAGAAACTTACCTTGTTCTTTGCAAAAATAACGAAAGCTAACATTTCCTGGAAGGCAGATCCTGTGCTCTTACATTTGTCTGTGTGCAGGTCATATGCCGAAATGGCTGCCTACTAAGCTGGCAAAGTGCTGAGATGCTCCTCTTGTGTAGGCCACCCCAGGCTGGCCTCCAAACATCTGGAAGCAGGTCCTTCAGTTGGGTCTGATTCATATGTCTTACAGCTCTGGATCGCTCACAGCAAGTGGTTCCTTCAGACTTCGATCCTTATGGGGGGAAAATGCAGTGGATCACTCGTTTTTCACCCTATGCTCTTGGGAACCTCAGGAGCAAACTATCTGTTATGCTAGTTGGCAAGCTCAGTCTAGGTTCCTCCAGTCCAGCTCACCTTCCCTGCAGCCGCACAGCAGCTGCAGGGAATTTACTTTTAAAGAGCTGAGGGAGCCCTTTTCAGCTTGGAACTGCAGTGTTGGAGGAAGGTGGGCTCCTGCCCCCACCCACACTGCTTTTTATAGTTGAAACAGCCCAGTAAGGACTTACTGATGTATCTTTGGAGCAGCATATGGAGTATTCCGAGCACAGCATGGGGGGGGGGGCAGGAGCCCCTCCTCCCCCCACACTGCAGTTCCAAGCCTTGCACTATCTGTTGCCCCTTGCAGGAGAGCGCAAAGAGGTGTTCTAGAGCACATCCTTGGCTCATGGAATGAGCCTCAACTGGCCTTCTGCACCCTTGAGTGTCCCACCCCTTTGGAATCCACTGCAACATGCTGGGATTCTTTGATAGATGACTCAGCACAGACAGACTGGCAACAGCAGAATGTTTCCTGAGCAAGTAACCTTGCTCTTGGATCCGATGCTGGGACCCAGCAGTGAGCTCTACTGAGTAATCCATTGCCTGGAAAATGTGTCACATGGCTTGGCCCTGTTACAAGTGAGGTATCTGGTCTCTCAGTTTCCCAAGCATTTTATGAGCAACCAGAGGAGACCCTCACTATTTGCAGGGAATGTGAATGATGAAATCTGCTAAATACTTTGAGGCAGTGGATCTGTTCCTTCTAGGAATAAAACTGCCAAATTTCCTGCAAAATGTAACAATCTTTTTTTTTTTTGGCCCCCCGAAGGGGAATTTTTTTTATTTTGCATTTTCTACACACTACACACTACAAATATGGGATGTGGAAAGGAATACTAATGCCCTATCACTATTACTATGGGAAATGGGTCAGGGAGATCTAGATACATAAAGTCTACTGGATAGGGGAAGGAAAACTACCACTCTTTTCTAAATCTCCTACTGGATATGGGGATAGGGTAAAGACTAATACAAATCACAATCTGAAAAGCTAAAAGAATAGATCTTTTTAACCTATTAATACAGGTTATACAGAGATTAGTTTGATTATACAAATATAAAATTATTAGCTTGGCACAGTTACTGCCCTTAGCACTCATGCTTTAGTCTTAGAGTCTTTTCTTCTTAGATTTCTTCGTTTTCTGCAATTTGGGAGCGGCCTCTCCTTTCTCCAATTCAGATGATTCTGACGACGAGGAAATTTGGCTTGTTGAGTCCTGTGAGTAGGACTCCTCCTCCTATTCTTCTTCCTCCACATCCGGTTTTAAATTCTTTTCCATCTGCTTCTTTTTTACATTGAACAAAATGTAACAATCTAATCAGTACCATCATGGTGCTGTTGGGGCTAAATGCCAGCCGGAGACTGTCTCATACAATCAATTTGCAGGCTGCAAATAAGTGAAATAATGAGTTACAGCACTGCAGGCGGTAGAGGTCCTGCACAGTTTAAGGCTTTGTCGGTCCTTCTGGCCCCTAGTGGTGTAACCCAAACCATATTCAGCATTCTAAGATGTTCACCATTCCACCCTTACCAGAATCTGCCACCTTGACAGCTTTCCCAAAGAGGCTTCAGAAGACATGCAAAGCTTCTGATGGGCAGAAGGGTTGTCTCTGGTAGTGTGAAGGTTTGCGCCTCCTTCCTCCCACCCCTGGCCTTGCTTGCGTTGGCATCTCAGTGTCCTTCCAGGGGAGATGTTCCTGGCTCCAAAGCCAGAACATTGAACAACTAAGTAAGGCTCTCTTATTTTAGTTGACCCCCATGCACAGACTCATTCAGAACTTCCAGAGCATCCAAACATCTCCTTTCCAGGCATCCTTGGTCCAGCGGTGTCTTGTTTTTCAGTGTCTCTGTCAGTTGCTTGTTCTAATGTTATGTTTTGATGTCTTTTGTTTGCAGCCTTTTAACGTAAGTATATCAGGACTGCTCAGAGACCTGACTCTGACCTGAGTTTGTGGCATGACTTAATTTTGTCCCCCCCCCCCCCCCACTTGTATCTCATTCATCCATTATCAGAAAACGTGGACCCAGATTCATTATGGTCCGGGTGTTGTGTGTGTGCTTATGTATGTATGTACCAAAATTCTGCACATAGATTACTCAAACTCAGCAACAAGTGGATTCTGCAACATATCTGTGTTATATTTTATTTTATTTTTTAATTAATTCAATTTATACCCCGCCCTCCCCGTGAACGGGCTTATACAAATGTGCATGTGATGTGTTTTGCATAATTTCCTCTGTTTGTCATAGGGGGAGGGGCAAGTTAATTCTCACCAGGGTCCCATCCCCATGGCTTTTACTTTCTGAGATTGGACTCTGCTTTACCCACTTTTTCCAAACACCATAGCAGTCTTAGGGGCTAGAACCTTGGTTTTTTATTATTTTTAGACAGTAGCCGAGATTGTTAGCTGCTCTTTCCATAATGCTCAAGGCAGCTCACAGCTTCATTAAAAGCATCAAAAAATATCAGTTGAAAAGCAATTCTGCAGTGTATAAAAATGAAAAAATTCCAAAATTTTAAAAGCAGCAGCCACTGTAGAATGAGAACACATGCAAAAAGAAAGAAGCCAAGCAAAATGCCTGAGCAAGTGGGGGGGGGGGATCAGCTGGTGCCAAAATGTAAAAGGCAGGCATTTTACAGTAAAGCTGCCACCATAGAAAAGACCCTGTCTCTGACAACCTGTTTTATGAAGGTGGTAGCACATTGAACAGGGCCACTGATGCTGATCTTAAATGGCAGGGTGGCTTTCTACTGGAAAACTAAATGGCAGTGAGGAAGGTTTTAGCCTTGCCTTTACTTGGCATTCTACATTTCTAGGTGCGTGGGAAAAATCTGAATCCACTTTGACTCATGAAAGCTTATACCCTAGGAAATTTTGTTGGTCTTAGTGCTACTGGACCCAAATTTTGTTCTGTTACTACAGACTAACATGGCTACCCACCTGAAGCTAGATCCATGAAACTAGATATGTATTCTATCCTGTGAGCCCCACCCATAGCTTAGTTTGCTCCCTAAATTGGAGGTAGGCCCAGGCTTCAGATTGTGAGGTTCTGGATCAAACTCTTTCTGATAAGCAAGCATAACCACAGTCAGGGGTCATTTCGTAGAAAAAGAGCTAGGGGGACTCATTAGCATAACTCATTAGCATATGCCACACCCCCTGACATCACCGGAAGTGTGTCCTCCCCACAGCCGGCAGCGACCTCCAGCGGGCACCAGCAGGGAGCTCCAGGCCCCGCTCTCCCGCACCTCACCCGGGGGGATGGCATCCCCCCGCGTCCCCCCCCCAAATGACCCCTGACCACAGTCCTTTATTTTCAGTAGATGTCACAATCAGGTAATTGATGAGTCTTGGCTAGGTCAACTGCCCCTTCAAATACTGGTTTCAGAACCCTGCGAAGTTACAATATTTTAGCATTCTAGGATTAGGCTATTGTAGGATGGGGGGAACACTAGGATTTTCTCACTAACCAACCTGCATAACTGGAGTTGTTGTAAGACTCACAATCAGCTGGGGCAACCATAACCAACCTAGCTTCAGTCTTGCATTGAAACTGGTAATGGATCAGATTCCTATAAATATGAGGTGGACTCTCTAGCGCTCCCTTTGGGAGGCCACATTCATTCTCCCCAACGTAAGAGCTTACTGCCACCATTAACTCGCACCATTTCCCCTCCTACCTGCACTCCCTTTGCAGCAATAAAATGGGCATCAAGGACCGCATCCGCCTGAACAATTCCCAGAGGCAGGGCAGCCGGGGGAAGCAGCAGCATCTGGCCCCACCCCTCCACCGCTCTCCCAGCACTGAGAACATCCACGAGGTTGTGAGCCCCACCAAGGTACAGAAGAGCTGGAGCTTCAATGACAGGACAAGGTTCCGGGCCTCACTGAGGCTGAAGCCCCGGACCCCAGTGGAGGGTAATTTGGAGTCAACCAGGGAACTGAGGTTGAGAGTTTTTGGCAGCAGCAGTGCAGGGGTGGGGTCTTCTAAGAGGCAATGAGGGATGGGATCATTCTTAATGTGCCATTCTCAATCGGTTATGCAGTTTGCATTGGAAGTGTGTTGTGTTTTGAACAGGTCATAATGAAGAGAAGTAGAAAACGGGTAGTTTATTCAACCATTTGCAACCCTCAGAATGGCTTTGGCTTAGGGTTCTGTTGGTCACATCCTCGGAGAGCAGAGCTGGAGTTGTATGTTAGCATAGAGAGAAATGTGCTGTGCATGTATTTTCAGAGAAACTTTCCCACCTGAGAAGTCACAAAGAATGTTAATAGAGCTACAAGCTTGGTTAATTGGGAATGGATGTGATTATTTAGCACAGGGGTGGGGGCAGCATGGTATAGCCTGATCTCCAGATCTCAGAAGCTAAGCAGGGTCAGTACTTGGAAGGGAGACCAAGGAAGACTCTGCAGGGGAAGGCAATGGCAAACCACCTCCGCTTCTCACTTGCCATGAAAGCCCCTTGCTGGGGTTGCCATCAGTTGGCTGCAACTTGATAACACTTTACACATATGTATTTACTGTAACACACAAGGAAAATGCACATGTGCTGTAGAGGCATATGCAGATGAGGAGTGCATGCTTTAACATATATGCACTCTCTCTCCAGCCCTGTGCAGTTCTGATTTTTTCCTAAAAACCCGAAGTGACAGAAAGGGCAAAGAGCTGGTAGAAAGATACAAACTCTGGTGGGGAAATCCCTTGTAAGGCTAGCTTGGTGCACTCTCCTGACCCATTTGGAGCCCTCTTTTCTAAATGTGGTGCTCAGACGCTGTGCATGAAGCACACCACCTCCTCCTCCTCCCAGTCTCTGTCTGCCAAGCATCACAACTTATAATAATGGGACCTGTCTTGAAGTACCCAGCATTCTTGAGGAGGTAGCTCAGCCCTCGATAAACCGAGTCAGAAAGAGTGGGAAAACCAAGTCTGAGGGTGGCACAAGGGATGGAAGGAATTCTGGAGGCCTTGGGAGAAAAATAAATAGGAGGACACAAGTAGTTGAGGTTGGGACTGGACAGAGAGGTGTGCCTAGAACTCCACAAACAGAGGAGCGGTAGAAACTCTCTTCCTTTTCTCTTTCTGCCAACAGTTGATGGCCCCACAGAGGACAGCAGCGAGGAGAAGGGCTATCAGTGTGACTTGACCTTTGAGGACATTATGCCTGCTGTGAAGACCCTGATCAGGGCTGTTAGGTGAGCCCAGGGGGTGGCTGGTTGCCAAGAAGCCAGTGCTGTCACGTTTGGCTCCATTTTTGCCTGACTGAGAAGAATTCACCCCATTTTGTGGCCTTACCAGTGTGGTCTTGGCTCCTCATCCTGAAATAGCTGCTTGTTAGCTGGCTTTTGAGGACACCATTTGAGCTTCAACCTATAAAGGTGGTAGAGTCATGGCTCCATGGGTGAAGAGACCTTGGATCCTCTTCGTGGTCTCTGTGCATCACACTACTGGGGATATAGTGCACCTGCGCTGACCCCAATCGGTAACATAGAAAGCGAAAGGGATTTTTACGCCCTTTCCCCAGTCACATGCCGGGCTCCACTGCGCATGACTAAGGGAGGGGCACGACAATCCCGCCAGTTCTCTTCTGACCGCCGCACTGGTAGGGTCTTCTCCACTTCAGTCGGTAACTTTTCTCTCTGGCCTTCGGGTCTTTTCTTCTCTTGAACGGATTCCTAGTTAGGGAAATAGAAAATAGTGTTAGTTAGTGAATTGGACTCTTTTTGTTGTTTGTTCTGCTTTGGCAGACTGCTTCCGCCCCCTGGCCTATGGACAAATGGTGAGGTTTCTTCAAACGGTGCTTGAAGTGCGGTAACAAAATTGCTCCCCCTGACGAACACTCCCTTTGCCTCCTGTGCCTCGGGAAATCGCACCGAGTGGACTCTTGTGCCCATTGTACCAAATTCTCGAAGCAAACAAGAAAGAACAGGGCTGACAGACTTAGTGTTGCGTTGCTGGAGTTGGCACTCTCACTGATGGCATCCTCACAGGACACTTCGGGGCACACCTCAATGTCGACTCCTGCATCAGGATCAACGGCCGCAATGTCTGTGACACTGGCCCATTCCGATCGACTGGTGGTGAAACGCTTGGTCCCAACATCTCAGTCCGAAGCCCACACTCCCACTAAGAAACGTAGGGAGGGCAAGCACAACCGGCCTGTCAAGCATAAGAAGCATAAGAAGGGCTCCCCCGCTAAGGCTCCATTGACCCCATGCCAGGCTTCGGGCATTATTCCTATTGGGTGTGCTTTGCTTAACTCTTCTGGCCGTGAGCAGCTACAAGGTGCATCACATTCACCTTTGCTGTGTCCTATTCAGCTCATGGACTCTGAGCATAATATGGACTTAACACAAGTCTCCCGATCCTCCAGTGTCGAGAGCCTTCACTTGGATCGAGGAGCTAGCACTTTTGTGCATCCTTCCCCACATCGACCTGATGTCATGCCCACCGTGCAGCCTGACCCAGTGGACCCTGATCCCGGGGATTCTGTACCTTCAATGTCCAAGAACGAGCTCCCTGCACCCCTGGAAGTACCAAACCTAAGTCCTGCAGAGGATGAGCACCAGCTACCAGGAGAGTTTACACCTGGAGCCGCTCCTGTAGAGCCAAGCACAAGCACCACGCCTCCTTATTCCCCCCCACCACCTGTGAATCGTTTGAGAGAACAAAGGCGACGGGACATGTCAACCCGGCGTAAAGAGGCACGTATGCGAGGTCGGCATCCTCTAAGTCCAGAGTACTGACTGGAGCCAGGACTCTGTGAGTAGCCAGTAATTGGTTAATAAGTGGAACGGACTTTTAAGGCGGCTCTCTCGAATCCCCAACTCGTGCTGGCAACTAATCGTATAGACAAATCGCTGCACCTCGGATCCTGCGTTCCTGTTTCCTGGTTTTCCTCTTGACTCCCTTGGCTCCTGACTTCAGACTGCGTGACGTCATTTCTCTGGCTCCCTGACTTTGGACTGTGTAACCTGACTCTTGACAACGGCTTTCAGCTTTTGAAACTCTGACTGCAAATCTCCGGTAACCTTAGCCTGTGTATTGACCTGATATTTTGGACTCTGCTCTTGTTTCTCTGCCTTATCTGGTGCCCTGACCTCAGCCTGTGTTTTTGGATTTTCTGTGCCCTGCCTGGTCTGCCAGAGCAATCGTGACACCCGACAATCGAGATCGACCAACGGGAGCATTCCACCCCCCCTTCGCCTTCCTGGGATCAACGCCAATGGCAGTATATGTTTGAGGCCAATCCCTTTTCTAGCAGTACACCGTGGCTCCCGCCTCACGCACTGATGGAGTGGGATCGTCAATCCACCTCATCCCGACTCTCTTGGTATCGAGACTCTCCCACAACACCGGAGTTCATCAAACCTCAGCCATCGCAGCCGATACGTAGTATTCATAAACCGCCTCCATTGGCACCATTACGATTTAAAGAGCCATCGGAGCCGATGCCTTTGACACCGATTCTCCAGATGTCATTCTCGGAGCCTTTGGATCATTCCGTCTCCTCCAATTCTTCATCTCGCTCTGGGGACGAGAATCCAGACCCCCCCAGTAGAACACTCTCCATCACAACGAGTAGGGGAGGGTCTCCCAATATCCCCCTCTGAGGACCTTAAGGCTTATGGGGAATTTGTTAAGCGAATGGCTAACACAATGGCCCTGTCGACTGTACAGCCCCCACCTACAGTTACAGACTCGGTATTTGATATTGTCCAGATGGACACTTTGACAGCCATCGCTTTGCCCATGACTTTGGTCCTGCTGCAAGCATACAAACAAAGACTCCTGAAGATAAGGAATTGCCAGGCTGTTACCTCGCTTCACTTCTTCCTTTAGCACAGAAGGGCTGAATGTGAATTCTGGAAGCTGATATTCATATGGGCACTTGGTGACTTTGCCCATGATGAGAGACATCCCATTTTGAGAAGGGAAGCGCGGCGGGCGGGGCAGGGCAGTCTCAGGCTGCCCCGAGCCAGGCCCCCCCTGCCGCTGCTGCCTCCCCGCCACGGAGGGGCGGGACCTAGCGCCGGCTGGGCCCAGGCATTCCCTGACGGCGCCCTCCTCCGAGCGCAGCGGGCAGTCTCAGCGGCCCACCGCCGCCTCCCCCTGCCGCCTCCCCCCCCCGCGGCTACCTGTGGAGGAGGAGAAGTGCCTTCCCGCCCGAGGCCGGGCAGGAGCGCCAGAGATTCAGCTCGGGGCGCTGATTGGGCCGGTGGCACTGCGGCAGCCCCGCATATTGGCTCCCTACCTGCCTGCCTGCCTCCCATGGGACGGGCTGCGGGCGAAGAGAGGCTGCCAGCGGCCGCCCCTACCTCTCCTCTCATGCTCTAGGCGAAGGCCTAGTTCGCCTAGTGGGCGAGCCGGCTCTGCGTATGAGGCCACTCCAATGTGGTTCCTCAAGAGGTTTCAACCACAACTTCAACCCCAATCTCAGAGGTTCATCCTCCCTGCTCAGATGTTGAACTCATTGGATTGGTGGGAGAATCTGCACAACCTTTTCACTGGAGCCCCATTTCACCCTCCCGCCCCCTCTATGACACCACAGGTGCATCTCTCTGGGGATGGGAAGTGCACCTTAGAGCGATCTGTGTGGGCTCCAGGTGGGAGACTCATGTGGCCCACAAACATATCAACTTTTTTGAGCTGTTAGCCATTCAGTATGTGCTCAGGTTTTTCCACCACCTAATGGCCCATCACACAGTAGTAGTCTTGACCAACAATACCACAGCTCTGTGCTACCTAAACCATCAAGGAGGGACGGTGTCAAGGGGATTGTGTTGACTGGCCCTGGAAATTTGGGATGAATGCCAATTGTGGGATATCTTCCTACTGGCAGCCCACCTGCACAGGTCCCTAAATGTGCGGGCAGACTTCCTGAGCAGAGGGGGAGCATTGCTGCATGAGTGGGAACTCAGTTGGACATACCTTCAGCCAGTCTTCGACAGATGGGGCCAGCCAGAAGTAGACACATTTGCAACCCGTCAGAATGCGAAATGTCACTTGTTCTGCTCCAGAGCAGGAAGGGACCCTCTATTCCTGGGAGACGGACTTCTCTACCCAAGGACCCACAGACATGTGTTTCTCTTTCCGCCACTCCCTTTACTCACCAAGGTGATCAACAAGATAATGAGGGAACGGCCTCGATGCATCCTGGTGACCCCATGGTGGCCCTGCCAACATTGGTTCTCCTCTATGCTCCACCTGTCCAAGGGCTCCTTCGTCTACTTTCCAGCGGCGCTAGATCTCCTTGCGTAGAAGGGTCAGGTGCTGCACCACGATGTACCTCATCTCAAGCTCACAGCAGGGAGGATCCTGTAGCACGGATTAAGAACAGGATAGACCACATTTTATTGAACTGTCGTAAGCCTTCTACGTGTGCTTCCTATGATAGAAAATGGAAGAAGTTCTTATCTTACCTCAGTTTGTTGGAGCTGCCTCCACCTCCTTCGGACTTGGTTGCAATTTTTGGTTTCCTGTTGTCCCATTTGGGTTTGGGCCTTAGTTGTGCCTCGTTGCGCGTTTATTTAGCCGCCATCTCCACCAATCATCCAGCAGTGGATGGTTACTCTGTTTTTTCTCACCCAAAGACCAAACAGTTCCTTAAGGACCTCAATCGCCTTTCCCCCCTGTCCCAGGGCCCTACACCTGCCTGGGACTTACCCTTGGTGCTATCCAAACTGATGGGCAAACCTTTTGAGCCCATGGCTATGTGTAGTTTGTAACTCCTCTCGTGGAAAACGGCCTTCCTGGTGGCCATTACATCAGCTCGGAGGGTGAGTGAACTGTCCATGCTTCGTTGTGACTCTCCTTACTTGAGTTTTCACCATGATGGTGTTACCTTGGCCCCGGATGTCTCTTTTCTGACCAAGATTGTCTCCGAATTCCATCTGAGGGCAGACATCGGTTTTCCCATGTTCTTCCCATAGCCACAGAATGATGATGAACGTCATCTTCATGTGCTGGACGTAAAAAGGGCTTTGCCTTTTTACTTGGACAGGACACGGCCTTTTTGGAAGTCCCCAGCCCTTTTTGTCTCCCATGCCTTACCTGGACAGGGCAGGAAGCTGTTGTCGCAACACCTGTCCAAATGGATTGTGGAGACAATCAAGCTGTGCTATCTGCTGGTCAAGAAGCTGCTCCTGGGGCCACTTCGGGCACACTCCATCCAGACTGTAGCAATGTCCACCGCCTTCCTGAGAGGGACATTGCTCTGTGATATCTGCAATGTATCCACCTGGGCCACTCCTCACACATTTGTGAAGCACTACGCCCTGGATGTCTGTCTGCATCAGCGTTCTGCGGTGGGACGAGCTGTGTTGCAGGCGCCGCTTCTCTAGGACCTTCAGCTTCCTCCTCCAGGTAGGTGTCTACTGCTTGTTAATCTCCCAGAGGTGTGATGCACAGAGACCACGAAGAAGATAAACAGGTTGCTTACCTGTAACGGATGATCTTCCAGTGGTCATCTGTGCATTCACACTACCCGCCCTCCTTCCCCTCTTCTTTCGGTCCTCTCCTATTTTATTACTCTGAGACCGATGGCAGCGGTCAGAAGGAACTGGCGGGATTGTCGTGCCCCTCCCTTAGTCATGCGCAGTGGAGCCCGGCATGTGATTGGGGAAAGGGCATGAAAATCCATTTTGCTTCCTATGATTAGGGTCGGCGCAGGCGCACTATATCCACAGAGGTGTGATGCACAGATGACCACTCGAAGATCATCAGTTACAGGTAAGCAACCTGTTTTTCCAGTTCTCCAGTTAAAGGATCCTAGGTGTCAGGGCTAGAATATTCCCCTGGCCTGCGCCCTTGGAGAATCACCACCAATTGAAATAGGATCGACATCACATTTTTAACTATTCCCTCCAGGCTTTCTGGCCTCTGAAGCTTCACCTTGTGTATATACTTTTTTTGCAGGATCCTTAAGTTCTTGGTGGCCAAAAGGAAGTTCAAGGAGACGCTGCGACCGTATGATGTCAAGGATGTTATTGAGCAGTACTCTGCCGGCCACTTGGACATGCTTGGCAGGATCAAAAGTCTCCAGACACGGTGAGCCAAGCTCCCAGTGCCTGTCGGCACTTCTCCTTTGACTCCTTAGGGGAGAGGCAATTTTGTCCCTGAAGTGGGGTACGGCTGTGCCTAAGAGGGCAGGATTGGAGACAGCTACCACTGTGGAGCAGCAGTGTAGTTTTTCTTGGCTCAGAACCTGAGAGATCGCTCTGTTCTCCTTCTTCCATGGGTTCCTTGTGCAATTTTGGACAAGTTCCTCTCTCTGTACCCCTCTGGCAGCTCAGTAGGCCAGGAGTCCCCCACATGGAGCCCGCCAAGTGTTTTTTAGAAAGCGAGTTGAGTCAGGTAGGGCTTCATTCCCAACAGAGCTTCTGATTGGCTGTTGGAGATCTGCCAGATACTGCTAAATGAAAGTTTCCCGTAAAAGTATTTTCTCAAGTATGTTTGTTTAAAAAAACCATCCTTTTAAACAGAGCTTCTGCCTGAGATTCTGAAGAACTACAATAAAATTATGCCTGACCTCCACTCCCTGGCATTTTGTGGCTGGCTCCGCCTCTTGTGGTGGCCATTCTGTGGCTGCTCCCACCACCGTGTGTCAGAATTACAAAGGTGGACTCCACAGCCTCAAAAAGGTTGAGAACCTCTGCTGTAGGGCCTGTTGTGTGCTGCTGGTGTCTTCCCTGAGCGGTGGACTCTGATCTGGAGAACTGGGTTTGATTCCCCACTCCTCTAGATGAAGCCAGCTGGGTGACTTTGGGTCAGTCACAGTTCTCCCAGAACTCTCTTAGCCCCACCTACCTAACAAGGGTGTCTGTTGTGGGAGAGGAAGGGAAGGCGATTGTAACACACTCCAAGACTCCTTCGGGTAATGGAGACCAGGGTATAAAACCAACTCTTCTTCTTTCTCCTCCTCTTCCTCCTCTTCTTCCTCACACAGTGGTAGGGCACACACTTGAGGATTTTCTCCTTGTTAGACTTAGTCCTGATTTTCTTGGGAGTCAATCCATAAGCACTGGAATCGGTTCGGGCATAGTTCTTGCACACATCTGTTCTTCCTATGCATTTTCCCAGTTGTGGAGTCAGTTTATTTTCTTCCACATGTGCCTTGAATAATGAGGATTTCTGAGGGAGGATGTTGTCATCAATGGCGTCACAGCACCCCCCCCCTTAAAATAGCACTAAAATATCAATACATTGCTGGAGCATTGTAATAATAGGCTTAGCAGATTCTCTGCATTCCCAGGTTTCATTTTTTTAAAAAAAGTAAGCCTCTAGCCTATGGAGATATGCCTTTTCCCTTATATCTCTGTAAGGGGAGAGGCTAGAGACTTACTTGGTTTTAAAATGAAAGCTGGGAGTTCAGAGAACCTGTTAAGCCTATTGTTACTACACAGTAGCGATATATAGATACTAAGAATAAGGCCCGTTGTGGAAATAAATACAACGAGCTCTAGAAAGAGGCTCTGGGCGGGTGCCCCGGTCTTGGGCACTCAGTGTCAATTTGCTGTGGCAACTTCAGCAGGTATAATGACACTGAGTCCACCATTTTCTCCAGAGGAACTGATCTCTGCTACCTGAAGAACAGTTGTAATTTTGAGTGATCTCCAGCCCTCACCTGGAGATTGGCAACAATTGTTACCCAGGACGAAATGGTTGGTTTGGAGGGTGGATTCTATGGCATTCTACCTGTCTGAGGTCCCACCCTCTCCAGGCTCCACCCCTCAAATCCCCAGGAATTTGCCAGCCTGGAGTTGACAACCCCATCTCCTTCCCAGCTAACTATCAACCTACCATTATCTGCCCATTTGACTTTAGCTGACTTCTGCCCTCCCTTCTGCAGAGCAGTTGTAATTTTTAGTGGTCTCCAGCCCTCGCCTGGAGATTGGCAACAATGGTTCCCCATGAGGGACTGGATGGTTTGGAGGGTGGAGTCTATGGCATTGTACCTGTCTGAGGTCCCACCCAGCTACTGAAGTTCAGAGTAGATGGAATTGGGCAGGTTGACCTAGTAGACTTGGGCAGAATAAAGCAACTATTGGCATTTACAAAGCCCTATGGACATCAAGGGTTGCCACCTCCTGGACACAAAAGATGAGACCTTAACTGAAGCACCTCAACGGGTACTGCTAGAAAGGCTTCGACGGGTACTGCTAGAAAGCTCTTGGTACCCCACAGGGCTGCCCAACAGGACTCTCTTCTATCTTGTGAACTGCCCCAACACTTAGCCCCCTGTATGATTCTGTTGTCTTCTGTCTGTCCGGTTTTTCTTTCCCTGCCTGGTAGCGTGGAGCAGATCGTGGGGCGGGGTGCCATTGCAGTTGAGAAGAAGTCGCGTGAGAAAGGGGAGAAGGCGTCCCTGGAGGTTGAATTGGTGGATGAGCTCAGTATGATGGGCCGTGTCGTCAAAGTGGAGAAGCAGGTAGGCTGATGAAGAGAGGCAGGAAGGATGCACAGCCTATCCCTGTCTTCTGCCCCACTTCTAACCCTCTCTCTCTCCCCCATGCTTTATGGTCCCAAAGGGATGGTTTGTTTATTTACTTACAAAATCTTTCTGCCACCTTCCTGCCCCCTTAGGGTCACCAAGGCAATTAACAGTTAGAACATTCTTAAAACAGACTGTGAAAAATTGAAAATCAAAAGTGAAATACTATAAAAGCTCATAAAACAGTAATCAAAATATAGTGCAGGAAGGAATGGATCATTGAGGGAATACCAAACAAAACCAAATATTCTTCACCCACTTGTGGAAGAAAGATGACAGAAGAGCAAGTTTGGTGTAGTGGTTAAGAGTTGCAGACTCTAATTGGGAGAACCGGGTTTGATTCCCCACTCCCCCACATGCAGCCAGATGGCTGACCTTGGGTCAGTCACAAGTTCTCTCTGAGCTGTTCTCTCACAAGCAGTTCTCGAAAGAGCTCTCTCAGCCCTATCTACCTGGGTGTCTGTTGTGGGGAGGGGAAGGGAAAGGAGATTGTAAGTCGCTTTGAGACTCCGAGTGAATGGTGGGGTCTACATTCAACCTCTTCTTCTTCAAGATTTGAGTCCAACAAGATTTCCGGGGTATAAGCTTTCAAGCGTCTGATGATGGGAAGTTTGACTCTCAAAAACTTATACCCTGGAAATCTTATTGGTGTCTAAGGTGCCATTGGACTCGAATTGCACTCTTCTACTTCAGAGCAACAGAGCAACCCACTGTAAAGCGATGACAGAAGGAGGCTGACAACCATCCCGGGCTCTCTTTGTCTGCAGGTGCAGTCTATCGAACATAAACTGGATTTACTACTGGGCGTTTACTCACAGTGCTTGCGGAAGGGCTCCATGAACTCCTTCAGCCTGACGTCCATGACAATCCCTGCCGGTGAACCTGACATCACATCTGACTACCACAGCCCCGCAGACCATGAGGACATCTCCGTCTCTGCTCAGACCCTGAACATCTCCCGGTCTGCTAGTGCCAACATGGACTAAGGTGCAGCACCCGGTCCAGGCATTTAATAGTCACACACCCGCCGTAGCGGGGAGGAGGAGGCCGAGAGAAGGGCACTTGTCTGCTTCCAGGACAGTAAAGAAAGGGAGGCAGACTTCTGATGACCCCTCGTAACAGGTGGATGTCCTCTGGTACACCCAGTCCTCTTTCAGCCTCGCCGTGATGGTGGGACTTGAATGGAGACACTTCTCCCAACACCTCAATGATTGCCTCAACTTTACTTGAAGTCTTCCAGTTGTGGGTGAAGCCACAAGCACTGGACGTCCCAAAGAATGGCCTGAATGTTGCCTCCAATGGAGTCGTGGTGTCATCATGGCTTTTAAATCAAATCCTTTAGGGTGGCACCCACCAACTGTAACCAAGAAACTGGATTTTTTTGGGGGGGGTGGGAATTATGCTAACCTTACTCTGACCTTGAAGGCAGTCCCTTCTGCAGAGAAAAAGCCATGCTAGCCTGAAACAAATTGCAGAGGGGAGTCCATTTGTTTCCTTTTGGCCTTTCATGAGCATTGATTCCTGTTTTTGGCAAGCATCTCCAGGTAAGGTGGAAGCGTCGAGCTCTTCAGGGGCTCAGCAAAGAGCTCCCAGAGCTTATGGGGTATCTTGGCCCCAGAGTGCGAGCAATGACCCTCTCTCCAAGCAAGTGATACAGGTGGTCCCACCTACTTAACCACATGACAGCCACTGACTTTGGATGTCTACCTTCTAGGAAACCAGGTTGGAGACTCTTTATCAACAGCTATGCAAAAGCTTAGATAACCCTTTTTTTCTCCAGGGACATTGTAACTTGGACTGAATGTGGTCTTTTGTCTTTGTGTCTAGCAGAAAATAACTGGCAATGCCTGACCCTGCTGCCTGCAACCTTTAAGCACCTTTGCAACTCTTTAATAATCTCTTCCCAGGTAGAGGGCATGGCTCTTAGGCCCATATATTGTAAGCACAGCGGAGCCTCCTGCACAGTGGATGTGCTTTGCGGGGCAGGACAGGGGCAACATTTATATGCAACAGACTTGAATATGCAACCTGAAACAACCAATCCTTACATTCTAGCAATAGACCAGGCACGCCTTTTGGCCTTGGGGGTCTCCATGGCACTCTAAGCTTGCTCGGGGAAGTGAGTTCCATTTGGCTGGGAGTAGAAAAATTGCTAGGAATCCCAACAGGGTGCTACATCTCGCTTTGGGCCAGGGGGAGAGCCAGGCCGAGCAGAGGTGTCTGCCTTATTTCCAGCAGTACTGGAATGTAAGGTGGAGTCTGGTTCTGTTGTGGGTGCCTTGACTGAGAAATTTTAGGGTGCTCTCTTGCTTGGCTTTTAAATTCTCCCTCTCCTCAGACCACTTATGTGATCCCTCTTCTCTGTCAGCGGATGAGGGCTTGATAGATCCCACCTTTTGTTTTTCTCGAGAGACCTCCCACCTTTTGCTGCCCTTCTGCCATTCTCTTTGGAAAATTCCTTTCATAACCCTGTTGCTCCTATCCTGATGCTGTAAATCATCCATCTTTCATTGTTTCTCATCCTCTGTTGGAGTAGCCTCTGCTGCAGACTTGACCTCAAGTGCTTTCCTGGGAAAAGCTTGTGAGTTCCACACATCAGACTGACATTTGAGGTTTTCATTTTTTAAAAGTGCATACCCAACACGTGTGAAGGAAACCAAGTGTGTTGGAAATGGGTGCATCCCGATCACCAGTGAACCAACTGCTTGCTTGGCAGATGCTAGGGATCTACTCCCTCGTCTCATCTGTAATGGTTCTTTGAGCCAGTAGTTGGGGGTTCCAGGTCCTGCCACTGAGCACCACGGGAGGGAATGTGGTGCCTGTGCTGTAGGGAGTTAAGAGGCTCTGGGGCATAGCGGCGGCACCTTTCAGGTGCACAGCTGCTGAACAGATAGCAGAACCTGGGGCTGGCAAGGGATGCCATGACGTGTGCCCCCGTGGGGTTCTGCCATCCAATTTGGTCACTGTGTGCCAGTCATAGCCCTGAAGCCTCTGTTTCTCCCTCTTGATGCCCCCCAGTAAGGATGCCGCAGCCCCTTCCCCCTTCAGTCACTCCCAGTAACAGGAGTCCGGAAAATCCAAGCCACTGCTTTGGGGGTTCCCCATCCTCACTGGCTTTTGATTTCCTTTACGTGATTTTTTGGTTAGACTAACCTACAAGCTCAAAAGACTTTTCTACTCCCCACCCCCTTTTTGCCAGACTCCACCAAGCTGCCTGATTCCCATGTTCTTTTTCTTGCACACTAATTGGATAGCCATTCGTTTTTAAACAAGTTAACCCCTTTCCTCCCCCATTGTCCCCCCCCCATCGCCCCCTCCCCCTGCTTCTGGGGGAAATAAGGAAGGCTTCCCTTTCTTGCTTCTTGCAGCTAGCACGGTCCACATCAAGGAGGTTGGATTATTCTAAAAGAAATTTAGAGTCAGATTTGGGAGAAAGTCCCTGCTTTCACTCCAGACTTCCGTAGGGTGCATGCCACCAGCTGTTCTCGCCCCAACGCACACCCCTCCCTGTGCATGCTCATGCATGTGTCTTGAGGAAAATGGCTACAGCGGTTCCTGAACTTTCCCTGCACACGTGACTCTCCTCCACCTCCCCCAATACACTGAACACAGCGTCTTTTGGAGAGCACACCCCGTCATCCATCCATGACATGTCTCCAAAGGAGGGAGGGGGAGAAGTGTGGGGGGAAGGAGGGAGCAGGGAATGGCTTTGACCAACCAAGCAAAACGAGGTTGACTCTGGTGGATTTCCAAATAAACCTTGTTCTGAGACGATGAATAGTTACCTCACTTGATTTAACTTATTAACTTATTTGTTTCATTAAAGTTTTCAGTAGACCGTTGCCTGTCTGCCTCATTACTTCTCTTCTTGCTGGAAAAACCGGCTGGATATGCCATGGGGTAAATACCCAAGCCAGGGCTGCTTCCTTGGCCGCCACCCCCAAGGTGTGCCTGCTTGGAGGGCAACTGTGCCCCCACAGGGGAATATTTCAGTGCCATCAGTGGCACTGAAGGTGACTGGCATCTACTGTGGGGCCTGGTTTGAGTCTAGTTGGTGGCAGTGCTCACCTTGGTGAGATGGCTCAATGGTAGACCATCATCTTTGCACACAGAACATTCAAACCCAGTTTCATTCCCTAGCATCTTCTTCTTCTTCTTCTTCTTTTTTGTATATTCTTTTTATTCATTTTGTGGCAACATACAATATATCGTTTAACATAACATAAATAAATATCATATAATCTATGTAATATAACAGAGTATACTATAACCGTAAGTAACAGTGTCAAAAATAGTATAGTAAAACATAGCCTATTTACAAATAGACCACTTTGTAAGAGTTAATATAGGGTATAAGAAGTATAGATTAACCTAGATAAGGTTATTGGTGTAGTGGTTAAGTGCACGGACTCTAATCTGGGAGAACTGGGTTTGATTCCCCACTCTTCCACATGCACCTGGCTGGATGACCTTGCGCAAACCATAGTTCTGATAAGAGCTGTTCTTGAAAAAGAGCAGTTTCTGTCAAGTGCTCTCTCAGTCCCACCCACCTCACAGGGTGTCTGTTGTGGGGAGGGGGAGGGAAAGGAGTTTGTAAGCTGCTCTGAGACACCTTTGGGTAGTGAAGGGCGGGGTATAAATCCAATCTCTTCTCTTTTTCTTAATGTTGGATTAAAATACAGTTGTGTATTTTATGTAGTATGAGTTTATGTTGGACATTGGGTCCCACTATAAAACTATTCCCTAGCATCTTCCATTACAAGGCTCAAGTAGAAGAGCTGAGATACTCTGACGAAGGGAGCTTTGACTCTCAAAAGCTTTTACCCTGGAAATCTTGTTGGTCTCTAAGGTACTACTAGACTCAAGTCTTGCTGTTTCGCTGCAGACCAACACAGCTACCCATCTGGATGGATCAGGGAGTAGATGATGGGAAGGGCCTCCCCCTGACACCCTGGAGAGCTGCTGCCAGCCACAGTAGACTTTCAGCCTTGTGGTACGAATCACTGTAAGCCAACTTCATATGTGTGCATGAGTGGGCTCAGGAGATTTAGTGTACCTTGCCTGGACTGACAAAATACCTTGACCCAGCTGAGCTGGTGGGTGGTGCTTGGGTTGGGTGGTGGTTGGCAAGATACCAGAGTGGAACATGGCAGCTATGGGCACCACCTGTGGGAGCAAACTTCCAAGGCTGCCAAAGCCAGCAGCTGGAAATGGGGGGGGGGGCAGAGGAGATAGAGAAAGGGCCAAGGGAAGCACGAGCAGAGGATGAGATTAAAAATTCCCATCTTTGAACTGCCAGTGTCGCATAAACTATGTGTTGCTTTGACTGAGACGATTAGACATTGCTGTGAGAGAATTCATTTCCCAAGTGTGTAGGTCAGGACCATGGTGCAGAGGGAGAAGTGGTTTCAGCCTCACCCTCATGCCATTTTCTGAACCTGAAATGGCCCTGGGGGGTGTTATTTGGCCCACTAGAGGGCTGGTTACATGCATGTCGCACATCAGTACCTATAAACCTCACCACCACCACCACCAGGCCAAATAATAACCCTTAGAGGCTGTTTTGGGGATGTGGCTTTGGGGCTGCATGGTCAAATCCTCTGATGTGTCGTTTAGGGGTTCCTCTACTTGGAGTTGGGCTTCATTCCCCCCAAAACCTGTCCCCACTATCCCTCAACTGCAACTAGACCCTGTAAGCAGGACCCCCTTTTCTCTGCTAACAGCCCAGGGTGGAAAGAGAAGAGATTGGACAAAAATGTTGATTCAGATCCCCAGCAATCCTATGTCGTTTGACCTTGAGTTGCAAATTAAGTCTTGTTTGTGCCATAAAATCTACACGATACACCTGACGTGTGTCGGGTAATGGGTGTGTGACCAGATTCACAGTCATACATACACCAGAGAAAGTAATTTTAGAAAGATCTTGTTAGCTCAGTGTAGTGAGGGGGGAGAAGCTTCCAGTTCCCCTCCCAGCCTGCTTTTGCCAACAGAAAGGGAGGTGGGG